TTTTGCTACATTTGTGGCAAAATGACTTTAAAGAGATACAGACGAAGATTGACACTACATGTGAAAAAACTGTATGAACTATACTTTGGTTGCAAAGTCGGCGACCAGGATAAGAACTGGGCGCCTCATGCATGCTGTGTGAGGTGCACTAGTTCACTATCGTCGTGGGCGAACAGGACTGGTGGAGGACCAACATTTGGGGTGTCAATGGTGTGGCGTGAACCCCAAAATCATTGTTCAGATTGCTATTTCTGTTCTGTTAACATATCAGGTCGCAATTCTAAGGGTAAGAAAGCTATAGTGTACCCAAATCTACCTTCAGCTATTCGTCCTGTTCCTCATTCGGCTGAACTCACTGTTCCTGAACCACCATCGGAAATCCCAAACACGGAAAGTTCTGATTCAGACGAGAATACTGATGACGATGATAGTTACGAGTTGCCAGAAGATACAGAGCGTAAACCCCACTTCATAACAGGATCTGACCTGAAAGATCTCGTTCGAGATTTGTATTTAACTAAGCAACAGAGTGAATTGCTGGCTTCACGTCTCCAGGAGTGGCATCTGTTGGCTGGTGATGCAAGAGTGTCGTCATTTAGAAAGCGATCACGGGAACTGCAGCAATACTTCTCTATGGATAAAGAACTTTGCTTCTGTAATGACTTCAGTGGATTGTTTGATGATCTAGGAATACAACACGATTCATCTATGTAGAATTTGTTTATTGACGCATCACGTTATAGTATTAAGGCAGTATTACTGCATACTGGAAATGTGCTGCCTTCCATTCCCATAGCACATTCGGTAACCCTGAAGGAAAGCTATGTGAATATATCACTTGTTCTGGACAGAATTAAATACAGAGATCACAGATGGTCCATATGTGCAGATTTGAAAGTTGTTGCTATACTAAATGGATTGCAGGCTGGTTTTACTAAGAAAATGTGTTTCCTCTGCAAGTGGGATAGCAGGATGAGATCAGAACATTATATCAGGAAATGTTGGCCACAACGAGAAATATTTGAGGTTGGTTCCCATAGCGTCATTCATGAACCTCTTGTGGATAAAGAGAAGATCGTCTTGCCCAATCTTCACATCAAGCTTGGAATCTTCAAACAGTTTGTAAAGGCGTTAGATCACGACAAACCAGCATTTCAGTATTTGCAGACCAAATTTCCTAAAATCAGTGACGCTAAAATTAAAGAGGGCTATTTGGTGGGGTCCCAAATACGAGAACTGATGCTGGATGAAACGTTTTCGGTAACTATGGATCAATATGAACTTGCAGCATGGGATGCATTCAAACGGGTGTTCCAGGGATTTCTTGCAAAACATATTGCACCAAATTACGCTGATTTGGTAGACAGATTAATTGCATCCTATCAACAACTGGGTTGTAACATGTCGCTGAAGCTCCACTTTCTTCATTCTCATCTTTCCTTCTTCTCTGTCAATGGAGATGTATATGATGAAAATAGCGAGCGCTTTCATCAGAGTATTGCCACAATGGAAAGCAGATACAAGGGAAAGTGGAGTCCCGCCATGCTTGCTGATTACTGCTGGAATTTGCACCGCGATGAACCCGATGCAGCATTCAAACGCCAGGCTAAATACAATTAAATACAAGTAAACAATTTGTGTTACAAGTGATAATAAACATGTTCATACACTTATTCATATGTATAGAAAAATGCATCTTACGTTACATCTTTAAATCGTTATTTCAAAAAATTGTGACGTGCTACACCATAACTGATTACATATTTGGAATCAGCACGTCTGAATTAATAAAGATAACCTAATTTGGTTCTTGTTTTTTTCAAAAAGTTAAAAATTGTTGTACAGTGCTATTAGACATCCATTCGTATGTCAGGCTAATCTAATTTGAAAAATTTTTCAAATCGCTACACCTTGCACAAGCTGTCTCCTCTTTAAATATGTCTGTAATTGAAGAAAAAAAAATTTATAATATGGTCTATTTAAAACATTTTCCACTGTAATAAGAAATGCAGAAGTCATTTTAAGAATTTCTTCAGAGCAAAAACTTGTCTCTGATTCTAAAATGTTTGGCTTAAGTGATTTTCCAGTTTTCTTCCCTCTGTCTTCCAAAAAGACATCAAGTAAAATAAAAATTAGGTACCGACAGTGTGACTATCAATAGATAGTCTACGATACTTAGCATCCCCCCACCCCCGACGTGACACCTACTCGCGCCGGCCCTGCGTAGAAGTACAACCAAATTTTCAATAGCAATAGACACAGCAATAAAGCTAATCAATATATTTATAAACCACACTCTATTAATTTGTGTATGTGTTTATATATATACATATATATATATATATATATATATATATATATATATATATATATATATATATATATATATATATATATATATATATATATATACAGGGCCGGCGTGAGTAGGTGTCACGTGGGGGGTGCCATTACAACTTTTGCCGACTTAAAAAAAAAAAAAAAAAAAAGGTCCTCGTTTTCCAAAATTTGCCGACTGTCATGACGACATTTGCCGACTGTCTAACCTATATTGAAAGGGGGTCCACATTTGCCGACTAACTAGGTCCAATTTGCCGACTAAGGGTCCAATTTGCCGACTAAGGGTCCAGTTTGCCGACTAAAAATCATTGATGAGGGGGTGTCACACCCCCCCCACACACCCCTATCGCGCCGGCCTTATATATATATATATATATATATATATATATATATATATATATATATATATATATATATATATATATATATATATATATATATATATATATATATATATATATATATATATATATATATATATATATATATATATATATATATATATATATATATATATATATATATATATATATATATATATATATATATATATATGTATATATATATATATATATATTATTTTCAAAAAAACATTTAAATGAAGCAGTAAAATAATAAAATGAATGCGCAATTTTCAAAAAATAAAACAAAAAGCAACTATTATAGGAGAAATTATTTTTGTGTCGTCCGCGTATAGTTTACTAGTGTTGTCTAATAGACGTGGTAAGTCGTTAATGTAGATGTTGAATAGTTGAGGCCCTAAAACTGAGCCCTGTGGTACTCCGCTTGTAACATTACACCAGTCAGAGACCGTTTCCCCTAGTACTACTCTCTGACGACGATTAGAGAGAAAGGCCTTTATCCATTTAACAAGATCGTTTTTGATTCCATAAGATAATAGTTTTGCTAACAGTCTTTTATGTGGCACAGTATCAAACGCTTTTGCGTAGTCCAAGTAGATTACGTCCACATTGTGACCCTGAGCTAGGGCCTTAGTTATAGTATTAAGAGTTTCTAACAAGTTTGATACAAGTTTGAAATTATCAATTTTTTTTTTAATTCTTGATGCTCTATTATAAAACAATGCTTAAGTTCAACATAATCTGATGGATCATTGTTTGAAAATTTGTAATGTTTACATTTAATAATATAAGTTTTTAAGCATTGTAGCCTAAGTTTAACAAAGAATACCGATTTTTAAGCGAAAGTGCTCTGTAAGGAAAATCTCATTTTATATTTTATGGTAAATTAACTATGACATGATGATGTAGGAGTTGAACAGTTAATTAGTTTTCTCCATTTTTCTTTGAGCTATGGTTGTTTTTATATTGTTATATATTGTTTTTATACTGTTATATTGTTATCTGTGTGTTGATAATAGATAAAAAATGCTTACTCATATGGTAGTTTGCAGTTTCCAAGTTAGTGTTTTGTTTAATATTTTACATCATACATAAATCATCTTTCCACATTTTTAGATTGTACTAGTTATTTTTACAATCAATGACAGTGCATGTTTTTGAACTCTTGAAATTTCTCTATGGTATAGGTTTAGTATATTTTTTTCCATTATAAACCTCTATAGCTTAAACCGTTGAAATAGAGATTTTTTACGTTTTTAACTTCCATTTTTGTGTGCGCATAAATTTTATATTGGAACTGTGAAAAGGTGCATAGGTCATTTTTATTCACCAGAGCTTTTATAATGAATATCTAAATAATTTCATTGTCATAAGGCTCTAAAAATAGCTTTGCAGCAGCACAATTTTATCCCATCCAGGGCCCTGGACTTATATAAAATACTTATATACATGATTTGATAAAAAATATGAAGTTTAGTTTTTTTGTTTTAAATCAATTTTTTGTCACTTTTTCAAAATACTTTTCTCTACCACTAATAAATAATAATATAAAGCAGCTTTACGATGTCTTAGGTTATTTTATTAAACTTTTCATATTTTAATCATATAATTAACTTACATATTTATTGTATTGCATAGTTAATGCAAATAAACAATAAGTAGTTATTATTAATTTGTATTTTTGTATGTTTTACTTGTGCATCTTGATTCATAATGGGGCCCAATACCTTTAAACATTTTAGGTGCCTAGGGGAAATTTCTCTCAGGTAACTCCTACCTGGTGTGTGTGTTGTGTATTTTGGGCTAAATTCAGTTCTAAATTGAAAATGTTAATTATAAGCATGATATATTTTATTAAAAAAGATATTAATTATTAGAGGTGTCATTTTTTTAAAAATGTCAAGCAACACAAGATGCCTGGTATAATATTTCAACTAGTACTTATCAAAAATTAGATTCAAGATATGACGCAGTACTGGAATATAAAGAATACGGTATCTAGTATTAAATAATTTTAAATATTTTGTTTTACAATTAGGCAAAAAATTTGCACTTTTCTTTTGACCTCGATTTAACTAATGATGTGAGTTTTTTTTATTTTTATGTACAATTTATTGCTTACTGTTTAATAAAAATTTAATTTCTGTTTAAAAAAACTTTCATACTTTTATGTTATATTTTTGTTTTAAGAAGTTGCTTATAGTTAGTCTAATATCCATAGTCAGATTTTTAGTGAAATGTTGAGTCTTTAAAAGAATGCAGCTTAAAATACTTTGAGTTAAACATTTTTCTTTTTAG